CTTTAAAAGTACGTATATGATTTTGTTTGAAAAGGTGTACCCTTGCTACAACAGTTTTTTATATTGAATTTTTGTGGGTACATAGTAGGTGTAGATATTTATGGGATACATGAGTCGTTTTGATATAGGCATACAATGTGAAAAACACACATTATGAAGGATAGGGTCTCCACCCCTCCAGCATTTATCCTTTGAGTTATAAACAATCTATTTACACTCTTTAAGTTATTTAAAAATGTATAGGTGGCTGGGTACAGTGGCTCAAGCCTGTAATCCCAGCACTTTGGGAGGCTGAGGCAGGCAGATGGCAAGGTCAGAAGTTCGAAACCAACCTGACCAACATGGTGAAACCACATCTCTACTAAAAATACAAAAATTGGCCACGTGTGGTGGCGCACTCCTGTAATTTCACCTACTCAGGAGGGTGAGGCACGAGACTCGCTGGAACCCAGGAGGCAGAGGTTGCAGTGAGCTGAGATTGTGCCATTGCACTCCGGCCTGGGCCACAAAGTGAGACTCCATCTCACAAATAAATAAATAAATAAATAATATAATGTACAGGTAAGCGATTGTTGACTGTAGTCACCCTGTTGTGCTATCAAATACTAGGTCTTTTTCATCCTTTCTTTTTAATAGACCCATTTGCCATCCTCACTTCCTCCCCCCACACTACTCTTCCCAGCCACTGCTAGTCATCTCTGTACTCTCTACCTCCATGAGTTGAATCGTTTTTCTTTCTTCTATTTCTTTTTTTAAAATTAGCATTCATATATATATATATATATATATATATATATATGTATTATTGCACTTTAGCTTCTGGGGTACATGTGCAGAACATGCAGGATTATTGTATAGGTTCATACATGGCAATGTGGTTTTCTGCCTGCATCCCCCAGTCACCTATACCTGGCATTTCTTCCCAAGTTATCCCTCCCCAACCTCCCTACCCACTGCTGTCCCTCCCCTAGTCCCCAATAATAGACCTCAGTGTGTGATGCTCCCCTCCCTGTGTCCATGTGTTCTCATTGTTCAACACCCGCCTATGAGTGAGAACACGAGGTGTTTGATTTTCTGTTCTTGTGTCAGTTTGCTCAGAATGATGGTTTCCAGATTCATACATGTCCCTAGAAAGGACAAGAACTCATCATTTCTTATGGCTAAATAGTATTCCATGGTGTATATGTGCCATATACACCATATACCTTTTCTTTGTCCAATCTGTCATTGATGGGCATTTGGGTTGATTCCAGGTCTTTGCTATTGTAAACAGTGCTGCGATGAACATTTGTGTGCATGTGACCTTATAATAGAATGATTTATCATCCTTTGGTTGTATACCGAGCAATGGGATTGCTGGATCAAATGGAATTTCTATTTCTAGGTCCTTGAGGAATTGACACACTGTCTTCCACAATGGTTGAACTAATTTACGCTGATTCCACACATAAGTGAGAACATGCAGTGTTTGAACTTCTGTGCCTGATTTACTTCACTTGACACACTGATTTCCAGTTCAGTTTGTGTTGTTGCAAATGATTGGCTCTCATTCCTTTTGATGGCTGAATAATACTCCGTGATGTGTGTACCACACTTTCTGTATCCATTTATCTGTTGATGGGCACTTAGGTTATTCACAAATCTTTTTACGGCAGCAGTTTACAGTAGTTCCACAAAGCCACTTTCAAAGCATGTCTGTCTTCAGTTTTACCTCGTTACATATCAGATTCCTAGTAAACATACAGGATGAGGGGAAGGGTACTGCAAGGTTGTGGGCACAGTTCTTAGAGTTTGTTTTGTGCTAAGAAAAGCTTGTGGAGAATTGTATTTGTGTTCTTGGACTGCCGTCACAAAGTAGCACAGACTTCTCTCACACTTCCAGAGGTGTAAATCTGAAATCAAGGTGCCTGCCATGTCCTGCTCCCTCTGAGGACTCGAAGAAAGAATCCTCCCCGGCCTTTCCGCAGTGTCCAGTGGTTCCCGGCATCCTTGGCACTCCTTGGTGTATGTTGGCATTGCTCAACCTTCTTCCTCCATCACCTGGCTACTTCCTGGTGTATCACCACATCTCCCTCTTTTTGTCAGGACGCTAGCCACTGGATTTAGGACCCACCCTAATCCATATGTCCTCCTCTTAACTCATTCTATCTGCAAGGACCCTATTTCCAGATAAGGCCACTTGTGAATATCTGGTAAACATAAATTTTCAGAGAACACTCTTAACTCAATACAGCAATCTTCAAGTTGGTGGGAATAGGCAGGGTTACTGTTTGCACAGGACATTCCCTCCCTCCACCTAAGTTATCAACACAAAACTGTAACATGCAGATACTTGGTCAACCTGTATTTATTGGGAATTCCTTGTAAAGCATCCAGAACTGTAGTAAGTGTTAGAAGGCAAACAAGAAGATAAGAGCAATTCTAGTTTTCAGAACTGTGTGGTGTCACTGAGGAGCAGAGTGACACGCATGGAACCATCGCAGAATTACCAGATCCTAAACTTACCAGGGAGTACGTGATGTTAGAGTTTGGAGAAGCGCTTGATGCATTTGGGCTGGCATAGATGAGTACGCTTCCCTGGAACGAGAGTGTGAGCTGAGCCATGACGTACTGGCAGGACCATGAAGACCCTGAGAAGTGATGCTATAAAGTGTCTTGAAAGTCAGTGAAGATGTTTGCGCTTAAGTCGGGAGCAAATGCCTGTTTCACTTTGTTGGTGTGTGATGCTATCACAGAATACCACAGACCCGGTAATTTATTAAGAACAGAAACTTATTTTTCATTTTTCTGGAGGTTGGGAAGTTCAGACTTGGGAAGAGTCAGATCAAGGCGCCAGGAGGTGTCTGGAGAGAACCGCCTCTCTACTTCCAAGATGGTACCTTGTTGCTGTGTTCGCGGGTGGGAGGAACGCTGTGCCTTTAGGTGGGGGAAGGGGTGGAAGGGCTGGAAAAGGGTCTTACTAGTTCTTTCCAGCCATTTTTTTAAAGTTGTGAATCCCATTCATGAGAGCTTCTGTCCCATAACTTAAACACTTCATAAAGGTAATTTACAACCAAGTTTCAACACATGAATTTTGGAGTGGATACAAATGTTCAGACCCTAGCACACAGGAAACACCTATGTCTGCTACGAGCAGAGAAAGAAGCAATGGAACTGTCCGTGGTTTAATGCAGGAACTAAAGGTTCATGTAAAAATGACCCAGAGGCATCCAGTATGACATTGGGAAACATGGAATTAAACACTTGGAAATGCTGTTCTCATCACTTAGATGACCATGGTTATGTCCCTTGGATGTGTGATAGGGGAGGAAGGTAGAATGAGTCACGCAGTGTTTATTTGAAATGGAATTCAATAAACATCCACCTCACCATACCATTCTTTAGTTTGGGGTTGAATGAATTAATTCCTGTGTTTAAAAAAGAGAGGGGCCATCCCAGTGTTACTGCCACCATTGAGTAATAGAGTATTGGATTTCCTATCGTGCTATTATGATTGGGACAAATGGAACCATTTGTCTTCTGCTACATGGGAGAGGTGTTAACATCAGGCACATCCAGTTATGTTGTGAAAGGCTCTGTTGTAATTAGTCTGAGTTGAATCATCAATCAAGAGATTCTACAAGTATAGGCACCAGTGACACCACATTATTGTAGAAGGCAGTCATTCATGCCACAGCAATACTTGTATATCAGGTCTCAAGCTAGATGCTTTATACACAATATCTCATTTAATTCTTAATGAAATACCCCAAGAGGTAGGTGGTATTACTGTCCCCATTGTACATAAAAGGTATAATCACAGAGAGATTAAATAAATTGTCCAAGATCACGTGCCTGTCCATTGACAGAAGAAAAATTCAAACCTGGAAATCCTACTTAAATTTGTGCTTTTAAATGTTGTTATTAACTGCACCCCAAAGGAGTTTGACTATATTTTTCCATTAGTCGCTTTGTACTTGTGACCTTTCTTTTTAAGTTATTTTATTTATTATTCAGTATGTTAAAAAAAACCTTTTAAAACATTCAAAAGTGTGAAAAGGCATATAGAAGAAAAATAAGTCTCCTTTCAAATGATGATCTCTGAGTCTGAGTTTCCCTTTCCAGAAGTAACAACACTTTACTAGTTTCTTTTGAATTTTTTTGTATTTTGTGTCTATTTTCAGGAATATGATGTCTTAGGTATATACTGAGAGTGTGTGTGTGTGTGTGTGTGTGTGTGCGCACGCACGTGTGCATGCACGCGTGCATGCACGCACACATGTATCCTCTCCTTCCCCTCTTCCCCATCAAAGCGATTTCTGTGCAGGCTACTTTGTCCTTCACTTAATGTATGTTTGGGGTTTGGGGATGTCTGTTTTGCCAGCCTGTGAAACACATGGATAAATATTCAAGCTGAATGTATAATTTTTATGGATTTTTGGTTATGTTTGTCTGCTCACGGCCTCATTACGCCACTTGAAACACATTTTTGTTTTATTATTTAGGACCCTCTCAACTATAATGACATGCACCTGCAATGATATGGAGACCCCCCCCTCCCTTCTCTTGAGAACTGGTCTTGATTGTGTTGAAAGCCATATATCAGAGACTGGAGAGCACATGGTTTATCCTCCCAAGTCAGAGTCTGGAGTCAGTGACCCTGAGCCCAGAGCCTTGCAGGCGAGTTGATGGTTGCTGCTCGGAGCTGCCATCTCTGTAGGGTAGGGATGTGTGGATGCAAACAGCAGGGGCTCTCATAAGGATACAGGTCTCTTTATGCACAGTTCAAAGAGTGGCCACACCAGTCAATCAAGATTCCAAACTTGATCCACCTTCTTCTCCCTTTGTTGTCCCCTTTCCTATGCCTTAGCTGAACTGTCATTTCCTGTTCATGTTTCACGCTCTCCTTATCCTGCACTTTGATTTACATGGATTTCTCTGCATTGAATTTCCTTCCACTCCACATTACATCCTTTCCATCCTCAAAGATCAGCAGAATCTTGTTGCCTTCAGAAACCCTTTCCTGATTCACCCAACTGGAATCCTTCCCTTTTTTTGTACTTAAACCTTGATTCTGTTATATTTATCTTTAGCACTTTTTCCCTCTTCCCATAAATTGTCCTGCTCGTAGTAGTTGCTCAATAAATATTTGGTACCAATCCCATCGAAATACCAACATGTGTGTGCTTGCCCTTCAGCTCTCAGAGACAACTAGACTTCCGCTTTCCAAACTTAGGATGCCTCAGTCATTAGAGAATTGACAAGCTGCCTAACTGTTTGAGCAGTCTCCAGCATATTATAAATATTTGGATAAATCCACCATCAGTGCATAGTCATTGTAGAGCCAATGAAACATGACCTTGACTTTCTCCTTTTTGTTTGCATGCACCCTAAAGCATCATCTCCAAAGGCAACAGGAGCAAATGGCGAACAGCTGGGCAGAGGAAGTGTCCTTCACACATCCTATATTTGGAACTGGTGGAAATAGCCAGTATGCTTCTGGGTCTGTTTAACAGGATAGATAAGATTTCGAAAATATATCTTCATTGTGAGTCTCCCGTGGGCAGGGTCTCATCTTGATATCTCTTGCACTAGGCATTGAGTAGGGCAGTTTCTCCACCACACCACTACTGATACGTGGGACCAGCTACTTCGTGTTCCAGGGCAGTTATCCCATGCACTCTAGAATGTCTGCCTCACCTTGCCATCAGCCCGCTAGGTGACAGAGCATGCCACACCCCACCTCCCATCCCAGGCCACACTGAGCCAAACAGAAATGTCTTCAGGCATTGCCACGTCTCCTGGTGGAAGAAATTGGTGTAGGGGCTCTAACTTTCCATTTCTCTACATGAAGAACAATCCAACTTGGCAAGTTTGCAAGAGAAACACCTTTATTCAATATCCAATTAATTTTACTGACTAATTAATTGGTTAAGAGAAAAAAAAAACAACAGCTTGCTGTAAACCACCTCCAAATTCTAGCTGCCACCTTGTTATACTTTAAAATGTGGTGAATTTGTGCCTCCATCCATGACTCAATCTATGTAACTTGATATTTTCTAAGAAGTACACTATTAAAGAGGGTTGTTTTCATTGTGTACTGTTTTTCAAATAAAAGCATATTGCATTGATTGCAAGCTCTACTGTGCATAAAAAACCATTTAAACTGGCCAGGTGTGGTGGCTCACGCCTGTAGTCCCAGCACTTTGGGAGGTCGAGGCAGGCAGATCTAGTTTAGGAGTTTGAGACCAGCCTGGCCAACTTGGTGAAACTCCATCTCTACTAAAAATACAAAAAAATAGTTGGGTAGGGAGGCACACACCTGTAATCCCAGCTACTTGAGAGACTAAGGCAGGATTATTGCTTGAATCCAAGAGGCAGAAGGTGTAGTGAGCCGGTGTTTTACCACTGCACTCCAGCCTGGGTGACAGAGCAAGACTTCGTCTCAAATAATAATAATTTATCTTAAACATAACGTTGAGCCAACTGTTTTCACTGGTAGCACATGGCATGAAGTAAGATAAATGTATCCTGAAATAAGAACCGTTAATGATTTATTGCTAAATAACTTCATGGACTCCACAACATGCATGGAAGAAAGTAAAGTTCTACAAAACACCCAGTTGTATTAACGCTCGGGAATCTGAACTGCACGTCTTGTTAATATTTCTTTCACATTTTTCTTAAACACTAGTTTACTGAATAGTCTCAGCTCAGCGAGATACAAACATGACATGACTTTTTCCCCACTCACTGTTCCCAGGTTCACAGAGTTGCCTCTTCTTCCCCTTCCCCTAATAATATCTCAGACAGATTTTTCAACTTTCTGATCCCTTTTGGTTAGTAGTGTTTAGTCTCAGTGGGTATGTATGCCCCCGTCATTTTCTTTTTCAAAGTAGCTATTTTATAATGTGTTTAAAGTTTCTTTTCTCCCCTTGCCAGATACGTAGCTTCCAAAAAGGAGAGGGTGTGTGGTGTTTTTCATTCCTCCCCTTCTCTTATCTTGGAATGAAGAGAGAGGACTTTGTATAACTTTGAGGCATTATTTCCTTTCATCTTCTGGCCCTCTAGATCTCCTGAAGTTTGGGGGCAGGAAAGAAGAGGCAGAGTCACAGCTCTCGAGTTCAACAGTATGGTTGCATTCCTGTTATTTGGCATGGTTAGCATGAGTGAGTTTACTGTCACTCATATACCTCCAGCAGAAACAGCTGAGCTCCAGCCAGTTTGCTGGTGTATTCCAAAAGCTCATCTGGAAGGTGGGGAGACAGTAGGCTGTACCCACGTTGCTGCTACTTGTCTATTTTCTTTGTTGAAAATATTCAAATTTTTTTCTTTCTCATGATGCGTAAGTATCACAGATACCTCAAGGAAACACACAGGGGCTTCTTTGCTCCTTATATTCGCCTGTTTTCAGGCTGCTGATAAAGACATACCCGAGATTGGGAAATTTACAAACAAAAAGAGGTTTAATGGATTCACAGTTCCACATGGCTGAGGAGGCCCCATAATCCTGGTGGAAGGATGAGCACGTTATGTCTTACAGGGATGGTGGCAGGCGAAGAGAGAGCTCGTAGTGGGAAACTCCCTTTCATAAAATCATCAGATCTCATGCAACTTACTCTCTATCACTAAAACAGCACGGGAAAGACCCACCCCCATGATTCACTTACCTTCCACTGGATCCCTCCTACAACACGTGGGAATTGTGGGACCTACAGTTCAAGATGAGATTTGGGTATGGTCATAGCCAAACCGTCACTCCTGTTTCTTGATTTGGCAGCTCTAGCTCCAGAAAAACCCTAGTCACCTCCCTTCCTGGTGTCTGTTCCAACCGTGCATCTGACGGGCCATTGTCCCCCCACCTTGCAGGTGCGCCTCTTGGAATGCACTGGCAAACTGGCTGGCGCTCGGCTATTTCTGCTGGAACTGCATGAGCGACAACAATCTCACTCATGCCATGCCCAGTAGTAGGGTGGAGGTGGTTCCACTGCTTCCTTTATTCCCACTCTGCCCCCAGTTTGTCCCAAATTCTGTTCTCCTCTGGTGCCCAGGGACATCTCTGAGACACCCATCAGGTCTACTGTGTCAGAAGACTTCTAACTGGGGAATGACATTTCAACCTCCTCTTGTTGCAGAAGCCTCTGGTATTTGCAAGTGCTTGGCTTAGCACGGACACGTGGCTTTTTGGGTGAGTTCAGGAGCAAGTACCAGGGTTCTCAGACACCATCGGATCACTTTTCTTAAAACATCTTACTCATTGCTAGATTTGTCTTAAGACCTATGGCTGTCCTGATTATAATTACATTTAGGACAGGCTCTTATGAACATGGGAACATGCTGAAAACTTTTAATTTTCATAGTTTTAAATTTTAATACAATGTTAGAGTTTTTAATGTTAATACAATTTTAATAAAATTAAAAGTTTTGTGGCTGGGCGTCGTGGCTCACACCTGTAATCCCAGCACCTTGGGAGGCTAAGATTGGTGGATCATGAGGTCAGGAGTTTGAGACCAGCCTCGTCAGCATGATGAAACCCCATCTCTACTAAAAATACAAAAATAAGTCAGGTGTGGTGGCACACACCTGTAATCCCAGCTACTCGCCAGGCTGAGGCAGGGGAATTGGTTGAATTCTGGAGGCAGAGGTTGCAGTGAGCCGAGATTGCAGTGAGCCGAGACTGTACCATTGTACTCCAGCCTGGGTGGCAGAGCAAGCTTCTGTCTCAAAATAAACACATAAATAAATAATTAAAATTACTAAAATTAAAATGTTTAATTTCAATTCTTAATTTTTATAGTTTTTAATTTTAATTTTTATAGTTTTCAGTTTGAATTTAAAATAATTTAAAAATTTTAATTTTAATTGACTTTTAGCAAATAACTGTTGTTTCAAAAAAGCTCACTAGGGTTTCAATGAAAGTGTCCTTAATTTCCCATATATTAGGGTTATGAATGACCTGTTCTCCATTTGTATGTGGTCATTAACCTCTGTTCTAGGGCGAGGACCATGACCGGCTTTTGCTCAGCTCTGCATTCTACAGCTAGCATCCGGCATCAGCACAAGCTACATAATTGTAGGCTTCAATGCAAAATGAAAATACAGGGCTTCAGGGTTGCTTTGCTTTGCTTTGTTTTGTTTTGAGAAAGGTTATTATTTGACAAGCAGTCTGGAGTGCAGTGGCATGACCACAGCTCACTGTGTAGCCTTTGTCCTGCCTTTCTAGGAGGTAGAGATCTAGTTTCTCATGGACCCAAACAGGGCTTCTTAATGGAGATTTATAACATCAAAAGGAATTACATGAGAACAAAGTAATTATCCTTCATGTATGAATATCAACCCAATTTACAAAGGAGTGAAATTAAACATTGCAGTTAATTACAGCAACAGTCTCAACTTTGTGGACCAATTAGGGTTCACTGGTTGCAAGCAATAGAAACCAATCCCCCCCCTAAATTAAGCAAAAAGAATACTTATTAGCAGTAGTCAACAAGCTTACAAAATTTAGAGGTGTCTGAAAAAGCAGTGTTGGTGGCATGGCAGGCACCAAGCCACTGTGAGGTCTCCTCCATGGGAAGAGATGAATTCCAGCTAAGTCATCTGTCCATGTTTCATTCTGCTCCATTTCTGGATCCCTGCAGAGCACATCACATTGGCCAGACTTAGGCAATACCTCCCTTCTTGAATCCACCCTGGCAGGGAGAGCTAGGATGTGAAAGAAAAATGCCTTTCGGAAACTTTTCATCTTCCAGAGTGGGAAGGGAACCTACTCAATGTATGGTCTTCCAAAGGCTGCCTAACATGGGAGACCTGTAACTTCTCTTGGATACTCGTAGGAAAAGGAAGCAGTTACCAATCAGATGAGGAGTGAGCTTTAGTCCGTTTCCATGGAGAAGGTTGATGTCTGTCCTCTTGTATGGAGGGTTTCAGAGCTGCCCTCGTCTGCACTCCAGGGTGGCCCTGACAGAGCATTACTGTGTCCCCGTTTCTTGAATGCGTGGAGGACCCTACAGTTACCTTCTGCTGTAAGGCAATGTGTGTTCGCCGTTGTTGTATTGGGCTGCTTTCTCTGTGCCCTCTAAACATTCGTCTCCCTCATGCTCCTGTCCCCTTTAAGGAGCTCATTGCTGCAGAGCAGGTGTGCAGTTTGCTCTGCTTCCTGGTCACCGTTTCTTCTGCAGACTTCTCCCTGCACAAGTACACTCTGGACCGTGCACTTTTCCACTTTGGATTCCTCTTCTGGACAGTCGTATTGGACTCCATTCAAGCTCCACTTGTCTGAGCTTAATTTTTTTTTTTCTTTTTAGTGCAGTTACCCTCCTCACTCCCATGTTGCCTGTCTCTGCTCCTAGCATGTACACATTGTGGAATGTGAGAAGGTGAAGTTCTCGGAGTTTCCATGTAAATCGAAGACCTTTCTCTGGCCCCTTGACTGCTTGTGTCACCAACACCACTGGTCACCTTCCTCTCACTTTCTGCCTGTATAAAGGACAGTCTCCCAGTGTCCCCGGGGAACCATTGTGATTACTGGAAATGGTGCTGGCTACGTGGGAATGAGTCGTAAGAAGACTCGTCCCACTTCTGATGCATCCCATGCTCTGTGTTGTCAAGCACACTTGGCATAGCCAGGAGCATCCTAGGTTGGCCGAATGCTAGATGGCAGGCATTGAGAACTGTCAACACCAATACAGGAACAGTAAAGCCAAACCATGGAACTGGATGAGACACGGATACTAAGTGTGTGGGCAGATCGAGTGTGCCGGTACAGGATTCTTGATTGTCTGCAACAGAGAACTTTTCTAGGTAACCTATGCAAATGATAATTTGATTTGAATGCTTTTGGGGAGAATGCAGAATCATCAGGAAAACTTGAGAACCTGGCTCAGAAAATAGACGCAAGGGCTGAAGGTACCATTAGGATCCCTGCATAGAAACTGCCTGCTGTGGATGCTGCTGCCAGCACTGTGATCACTGCCATGTGACACCACCAGCATCCATACTCGTGAACACAGAGTCGTGGTTCCAGATTCTACCCTTGACACAGCCTCCAGTGACGGTGCTTGATTTGGGCGGTGCCTTTACCTAGCCCCCTAAAGACCCAAGACCTATGGTAACATACAGAGTCCAGGGTTGTTTTTTTTTATTTTCCTTAAAAAAGCACCAGTATAGTTTGAGGAGGAAAAGCGAGTCTTTTCAACAAATAATCCTGGACCAACTAGATGCTGGGATGGAAGAATTTAACTCAGATCCATGCTTTCCATCGTAGACAAAAATGAACTGAAGATGGGTTGCAGACCTGACTGCAAAAACAAGCACTTGAAAGTCCCTGGAAGAAAACATACACATCTATATTTGAAAACTGAGCATGGTCAACGTTTTCCCAGATGACACAATAAGTGCTAAACATGAAAGAGAAGTTTGACTTTACTTCCTCAAAATAAAAACTTTGTCCCATAAAAAGACCTTAAGAGATTGAAAAGTCAAGCCTCAAGGAGAAAATATACTAAATACACACACACACACACACACACACACACACACACATATACATATATACACATACACAGAGCTGTGGCTCTGGACTTAAATATTTTATCAAGAGCAATGAAAACATATCTGCACACAAAGACTTCTTCACGGATGCTCATTGCTTGTTTATTTGCAATGGCAAAAGAAGAAAAAAGGGAAATTACCCAAGCATCCATCAATAGGTGAATGCATAGTAAGTTGTATAGTCACTCAATGGAATGCTATCCAGCAATAAAAAGAAATGAATTGCTGACAAGCACATCAATGTGTGTGTGTGTGTGTGTATACATGTATACATAGTGTGTATACACACACACACACACACACACACACACACACACACACAACATTATACTCAGCAAGAGAAGTTATCCACAGAAGAGTCCATGCTTTATGGTTCTAGTTTTATGAAGTTGATGAACAGGAGCAATTATCCTATGGGGATAGAAATTAGGTTTGTGATTGCCTTTCACCCACTAAGATGCCTCTTCAGTTTCTACCCGAAGACTACATGTATATTTATCTCTAGGCTATCCCCAAAACAGAGATGTATGATTCATGCTTTTCATGCCATTGGGAATGGACATCCTCTTCATAGCAGGGGTAATTACAGGAGTATTAATCACCAAGTGCTTAGTAAATACTGATACCCAGATGACTTACACAAATCATCACAAGACCACATCATCACAAGACTACAGTCTACCTTTTGTATAAATGCAACCCAAAAATCTGGGATTATAAAAGTACTTGCTTCTTTTGCATTCTTTGCTGGGGGAGGAGCAGAGAATGTGAAGAGGAAGAAGGAAATTTTCTAGGGAGATGGCACTTCTCTGCACCTTGACTGGAGTACTGGTTTGTGTGTGTATGTGTTGACAAAACACTGTAGAACTCTATACTTAATATCTGTGCGGTTCAGGTAGTTATACATGAATAAAAATTAAAAGTCCAGGAGGCATACCCTAATGAGCAAGCCTGATCATATACTTGCATTCAACTATTAGAAAACTTCTTTGGTTTCTGTAGCAGGAGGCAGCTGCCATCTGCAATACAAAGGGCGTTTGTCATTCATGGCACAAGTCCGCTGCAAAGTCAAGTGAGGACCATGGCCGAAATGAGATTCCACAGGAACAAACCAGGAGTGAACAACTCCAGTTAGAGTGAAACACGTGTCCCATTTTGTCTGGGACTTTTTCCGTGTGAGCATTCGAAGTCTTGCGTTCTGAAAAAACCTCCATTCCAAACCAACTGGGATAGTTGGTCACCTTCCTTCCAGCCAGAGCTCTGTCTACAGTTAAGTCTGAGGGGGACATTGAGGGATGACACTGGAAGAAGCAAACCCAGAGATTGACCTTGAAGCTCCTGTGGGTATGAGGTCAGTGTGCAGTAATCGCCATGGATAGAGATTCACTGGAGGTCTCATAAGCCCTGCCACCCTAAACCACATGAGAACCTTATGCGTATTCTTTCATAAACTGTGATCCATTTTTCTTTTCATATCACTCAACCTCCTAAAACCATCATCTCTGTGTTTTTACTCCCATTCTCTATCATCTCCATGATGGTTGTCCACATGTCAGGTTTATTCATCAGTGTATCTGTAGCACATGTAAATGGCTGTCACAAATGCTTAAATGATTCAATGAATGATTGGATGATTTTGTGAATGATCCAATCCATCAAACATTGCTCTAGGCTTCCTTTGAAGACCAGCATCCTGACACATGGACATTTTTGAGGATTTAAGCCACAGTCCTTTAAGCAAAACCCTTCCAGAAAGACACTTTCCTCTTTCTCTGGGGCTACAGCAACCAGCGTACATGTATTTAATTACTCACTGCCTATTTTTATGTTACACAAGCTCAGTTTCTCCCTCTCCATTCTCTTTTCCTCAGTGGTGGCAATATAGATATTTAAGTGTATTATTTATTTTTCCATTTCTCCCCTTTTCCTGTAGTCTCCCTCCAGAGATGACAATTACCTTAAACTTTCACCCACCAAGATACCTCTTCAGTTTCTAACCAAAGACTACGTATGTATTTATCTCTAGGCTAACCACAAAACAGATATGTGTGCTTCATAGTTTTCATGCCATTGGGAATGGGTATCCTATTCATAAGAGAGGTGATACCAGAATATTAATCACCAAATGCTTAGTAAATATTGATACCCAGATGATTTACACAAATTATCACAGGACCACAATTATCACAAGACTACAATCTGCCTTTTGTATAAATGCAAGCCAAAAATCTTGGATTATAAAAGTACTTCCTTCTTTGGACTTCAGATAAATCTGTAGTATCCTCAAGAGTCTTTCAAAACTTCCACTGTCTCCAGCAAATCTTGTAGGAAGGAAAAAAATAGATATCGCTTTGCAATTTATGTTTCTACCAGCATGCAATTGAGTAGATTCAATTGACTCCAAATGTTTTGCACATTCTAATTTGTGTCCCCTATTGTCCTCCCCTGTTGACTTCAAGTTAATGCATAATATGATGTGGGACATCCCTCATAAATTTCATATCATCAGAGTAATGTGGCTTTGATGATGTACTGCATTTTAAATTAGCTCTGTCACAAAAGGACGATGGGGGGCCCAGGAGGTTTTTTTTTTTTTTTTCTAATTTTCCTTCTGTTCTTGAAGTGTGATAAGTCTAATTATAGTTGGCAGCAAACAGCCGTGTTTCTTCAGCTAGTATGGCTTGCGAGGGCTGTTGGATTGCTATGATATCTTCAGATTTTTATAGTAGGTCTCTTAGACCCAACAAGTCAAGATGGCTCCCAAGTGGGAGGCGTTCTAAAAGATTAAAGAGAGATGAACAAGACAGGAAGTTAATGACATTAATCTGTCCTGGCCAAGTTCCGTGATGCATTCTTGTGGCTTATTTTACTCATGGGAGTTAATTAACAATAACATTTTCAGAATATTAGAATAATTTGGAGAAGAGCCTATGATATGCCTAAATTATGTGTATACAAGATAATTTTTGTTTCTTCTAATACTTTACTAATCTAAGGGGATTCCTCCCTGTCCGTTGTCTTTTCTGGGGGGGAAAAAGCAAATGTACAGTCATGTGTACTACGGGAAGAACAGCTACAGCTCCTTTGAGCTCTGGTTTAGGAAACACGCTCTCATGAACTTTACTTCTCATTCTCCATACCAGGGCTTCTCACGCTTTCAGTGAGCACAGGGATCATTCCAGGAATCTTCCTACAATGCATATTCTGTTTAGTAGGTCTGGGGTGGAGCCTGAGTTTAGGCGCTTCTAACAAGCTTCCCGGTGATGTTCCTGCTGCCGGTTTGTGGTCCACACCATGAACAGCAAGATTTTAGAGCGTGTTAAGCAACAGAAATGTATTTGCCTGTGGATGTCTCTGCACTAGAATTGCATTGAGAGGAGAAATAAAACAGCTTACAATTTTGGATGAATTGGGTAGATATTCTTAAGGAATAGCTAACATAAATTGAGCCCTGCTTATCTCCGTTATACAGCTGAGGGGCTATAAGTTTACAGACGTTTAGTGATGTGATCAAGTTACAGAGCTAACATTCAGTGCAATTTGAACCCAGACAGTTTGATTTCAGAGACCACGCTGAAATGCCTGTGCTGCTTGTGGACTGTTGCCCTGAAATGCAGTTTATTTGTCTGGAGTGTAATGTCTGGAGTTTTTTGCATTTCTATCATTATAAACCTCTCGCAAATATTAATTGAGTACCTAAGGTCACTTCTTAAGGGTTTTTGTCTTTTATTTTGTTATACTTTAAGTTCTGGGGTATATATGCAGAACATACAGGTTTGTTACATAGCTATACATGTGCCATAGTGGTTTGCTGCACCCATCTACCCATGATCTACATTGGGTATTTCTCCTAATGTGAACCCTTCCCTGGACCCCCACCCCATGACAGTCCCCACTGTGAGATGTTCCCCTCCCTGTGTCCATGTGTTCTCATTGTTCAACTCCTACTTATGAGTGAGAACTCGGGCTATTTGGTTTTCTGTTCTTGTGTTCGTTAGCTAACATTGATGGTTTCCAGCTTCACCCATATCCCTGCAAAGGAGGTGAACTCATCCTTTTTTATGGCTGCATAGTATTCCATGGTGTATATGTGCCACATTTCCTTTATGGAGTCTAACATTGATGGGCATTTGGGTTGGTTCCAAGTCTTTGCTGTTGTGCACAGTGCTGCAATATGTTTTGTAGCAGAAAAGAGAAGATACTGTGGTTCCAACTGAAGACCACCCCATAGCACTCACTGATAGCTGAAATTCAGGAAACTGTTTATGTATCCAGAAGGAGTGATTTTATTTATGTGTAGAAAAAATATATTTAAATCATTATCTATAGTAATTAGCTGAATGGAAGAACTGGCCTAAAGAGCAATATTTTTTCTTTCTTTCTTTCTTTCTTTTCTTTTTTTTTCTTTTTGTAAAAAGGATATGCTAGGAACACTACAGTGACGTGCAGATTAATTCTTTGTTTATATTTATACTTTCAAACTTCTTTTATACGGGTAAAATTCACATAATATGAAATGTGAATTTTAAAGTGTACAATTCAAGGACTTTTAGTAGATTCACAGTGCTGTGCAGCCATCACCTGCGAAAAGCACATAGAAAGATGCTCAACCCCATTAGTCATTAGAGAAATGCAAATCAGTCCAGGCATGGTGGCTCACACCTGTAATCCCACCACTTTGGGAGGCCAAAACTCTTGAACACAAGAGTTTTATACCTGCCTGGGCAACACAGGGAGACCTCATCTCTGCAAAAAATAAAAATAAATGAGCTGAGTGTGATGGGACATATCTGTGGTCCCAGCTACTTAGGAGGCTGAGGTGGGAGGATCATTTGAGCCTTGGAGGCTGAGGCTGCAGTGAGTGGTGATTGCACCACTGCCCTCTAGCCTGGACAATAAGAAAGACACTATCTCAAAAAAAGAGAGAGCCTTGCAAATCAAAGCCACGAGGAGACATCATGTCACACCCACTAGGATGGCAGCTGATATTAATAATGGAAGGTAACAGATGTTGTCCAGGGCGTGGAGAAACTGAAACTCTCAGGCGTTGCTGGTTGGAATGCAAAATGGCACGGTGGCTGTAGAAAACAGTTTGGAAGTTAAACCAAGATAAACAGAGAATTCTCACTAACTTTTGACGACTGAATGTATTTGCCCTTTTCCAGCTCCTGACTGTTTTTTTTCATGGCCTCTTCTAGGGCCTCTGTCTTGTTTGCTAATAGGTGGTTCGTTGTCCTGTATCCATTTAGTAGCCAATGTAAAATGGTGCCATACTTACTATTTTAGATGCAAGGGGTTACCTCCTCTTTCCAAAGATTTGACCGTTGTCTATTCTTAGCCGGTACCAGTTTGTAAAGTGGAAGAGTTATTGGTTGGTTGGTTGGCTGGTTGGTGCTTTTACCTCCAGATCCTATGTCATTCCAGTATTATTTTTACTGTCTCATGTGGGGTAAAGCCCCTCTCATTGCTCCCTCTACAAGGCTAACTCCTTTGACCCCAGCAGAAAGAACCGTTGATGATATTTGGTGAAAAAAAAAAAACAAAAAAAAAACCTGTTCTAAGACTGTTCTTCTCCTTGGCAGGAAACTCTCACTTGAATCATTGGGCAGAATAATGGAGGCAGATGTGGGTTTAAACCTTAATTACACCACTTGGTAGCGTTTATAAGTGTGGGTCAGTCCTTAAGCTTCCCAGGGACTCTGTTTCCCAAACAAATCATGGAGTAGTACTTATAGGAATGGCTAATGATTAAGTAAGATAAGCAGGAAAGCATTTACGGTAGCATCTGGCACAAAGCAGCACTCCACATCAACCCTGGCTGTTACTGTATCATTATCACCGTTACCTCTGTCCTAGTTTTGACTCTACTGCATAGTTTGGGTCTGTTTGCACACTACACTTCTTTAAAACACACACAAACTCTTGAGAATTATCTCATTGTCTTCCTACAAGCCGTCTTTTTCCTTCTGCATGAACTTTTAAACCTTCTCCACTAAGGCAAGGGAACTTTAAATGGTTTTCTTCACAGAGAATTAGCCTAGGAATGAACATAAATTAGCTGAGAGTGGTAGCGCACATCTGTAGTCCCAGCTACTTGGGAGGCTGAGGTGGGAGGATCACTTCAGCCTGGGAGGCTGAGGCTGCAGTGTGTGGTGATTGCACCACTGCACTCTAGCCTGGGCAACAGAGCAAGACCCTATTTCAAAAGAAAAAAAAATAAGGAAAAGAAAAATGCAAGTCAAAACCACGAGATTTTGAAAAAATTAATAATGTCTTAGGAGAAAGGGAACTTTCTTACTCTCAGGCATACAGAACCACAGCCACAAACAGTCTCTGTCCTGTGCAGGGCCTCAGGTGACTCACTTTTGATGAAACAGAGAAGCAGGTTGCCCTCTGTCAGGTGAAGAACCCATGTTTTTAGCATAATGCCCTGATGTTGTGTGTGGCTTGGGGAATCCTGCTTGTGACTCTGAGGTCTGTTTTTTCGTTAATGATTCTTTACCACTTTAACATTCTTAAAAGTAGGTTTTGGCCTAGAATTTGTGAAATTCTCCCTCAGTTGTTGTTTTTTATTTGTAGATAACCATGAGATAAGCTGGCTGGCTATATAAAAAAAAAAATCTCAGTCTCTATCCAGAAATTTTAAGAATGCCAAATATGTGATGTCTGCATTGATAAATTCTTATACAATGCTTTAAACATACTCAGATTTTAAAATTTATTAACTTACCTAACTCGTCATTTAAAATAACTCTTTAAAAAGACTGGCTTATCTTACCCTAGCTCTAGTTTCTTTTTTGCTAGTGAAACTGCCAGTGGATTACTGTATCTCAGATTACATTAATTATATTTCTATATCATAAATCCATTGAAGTGTCGCTTCTCTGACTCCTTGGAGTTGTGGTCTGTGATTATCTGGTATCAGAGGAAATTCCTGCCCAGAGCCCCCCACAAGACATTTCCACATTGTAAAGCAGCACCAAGAGCAAGCATGAGTAAATCAAGTTCTTCTATAAGGAGGGATCCTAGGACAATGTTACTTTTAGAGATGGAGAAGCTCTAAGATATTGTCAAGTAAAAGAAACCCCTCTTTCACAGGTGGAAAATAACCTAAGTTTTCACCCTGAGTTGGTAGTAGAACACAGGTGAGAACTCTTACAGTCTGCTCAGTAAGGGCTCTAGGTCTTCCTCTCTTAGGCTCTGAAGGGAAATAGACTCCTGGAATAGCCTGGGAGGGAACTTTGACATCAAGATATTCAGCCTCCTAGTTGTAGAGATAGGGGGCTCTGGCGTTCGTTCATTCATCTAACAGGTATTTATGGAGCACTTAACCAATGCCAGATACCTCCTAAACAAAGGTTATGGCAGTGACCAACACTGAACCATTCCCTGCTCACAGGGAGTTGGTCACAGTGCAGGGATCAGACAGTGAATAGGTAAGTCAGTGATCTGCTGAGAAAGATGACATCAGCGTTATGTCAGGGTGATGTAGTGGTACCTGAGATACGGCACAGGGAATGGAACATTTTTTCTAAGTGCAATGGAGAGTCACTGTAGAGTTTTAAATAGAGGAGGGATAGGATATGATTTATGTTTTAAAAACCTGTCTGACACCTAGATGGAAATTTAATTGTGGAAAGAGCAAGAATATCACTTCTAGGCGAATGCTGTAGGTCAGAGCAGAGATGACGGTCACTGCTAAGGTGGTAGCCGTGGTATCCACTTAGCTAGTACAGCTAAGTGGATAGAGGATGGATGCTGGACGTAAAGGTGAGGTCTGGACCCTAGACTCAGTGGGAAAGGTAAGAGAAAAAGACTTACCAACAACTTTAATTGTTCAGCTTGAGCATTTGAAGAGATGTACCCAAAGAGAAGTTTGCATCAGGCTCTGCGCAGCAGCTAGAGTTCATATTGATTTACACCTTTTTAAAATTTAATTTAATTTTTTTTAATTAAAGGGATCATATCTCACTCTGTCACTCATGCCGGAGTGCAGTAGAATGATCGTAGCTCACTGCAGCCCCAAACTCCAGGCTCAAGCATTCCTCCCACCTCAGCCTTTTGAGTAGCTGGAACTACAGGTGTGTACCACCACACCCAGATAATTTTTTTTTTTTTTTTTAGAGGCAGGGTCTTGCTATGTTGCCCACTCTGATCTCAAATGCCTAGTCTCAAGTAACCTTCCTGCATCTGCCTCTCAAAGTGCTGGGATTACAGGTGTGAGCTAGCTTGTCCTCCCAACAGCTATTTTTAAAATAATGTTGAGATCTGTAAGCCATGCCTGACCAGAGGGCAGATACTTACCTGTTTCTCTTCTTTCTTGAGTAGCACCCCACATGGGGCTGAATTGTGGATTGGACTGAATGCAGGGATGAGTGCAGGTGTTCTGGAGAGCTTCACCCTATGTGTGCTTTCCTGTGAGCCCAAGGACTGCAGCTGAGGAAAAATGTCTCGATGGGTAATTGCATGATCCACTGCCCTGTGTGGGACCACAGTCTTAAGGCGCCTGTTATGCCTTCCTGGGTGCCTCAGTTTTCTTCTTTTGTAAGACTGTAAACTTCATCAGCCTGGCCTTGACTTCCTCTGGATACAATAGTGGGAACCACACAATGCTGAGTCACAGTTAGAAGGGGTGTCTGTCATCACAGTGCAGTACCACTCTGCTCCCAGACACCCTGCTATTTATCATTCCTCCTGTCTCCCTTTCCCTCCCCAGGGCCACGCTATTCTTTGGCAGTGATCACATCCAAGCCAATTTCAATCAATAGTTTTGTTCATTTCAAATGGAAATAAGCTCTGTGTTTAGCAGATGATGAGAGTTTCACTCAAAATGTGGCATATTTGTACCATCCCTTAGGTCGAACACGTAAGTATTCTTCAGGAGGGTAGAAGATGCCTTAAGCTTAATGTTTAAAATCCTTAGGATGGCATCTCCTCCATGCCACCTGTAGCTGTGAACTCAGTGTTATGTATCGTGAACTCCAAGTTTCTTTTCAAAGAATCAGTGCGTCAATATGCTCTGCTCTCTTATTCTTTAATTCTCCACTTTAAAGTTTAACTTCCCGGCTCTCTTCGCCCCTTGCCTCTAGTTTTGGTAAACAACTTTCCCACCAGTTCTAATCAGTAGTTCACATCTGTTCCCCCTGGTCATCTGCTTTGACATGAGTCACCCCTGGTCACCTGCTCTGACCTGTTCCATAACTGTCCTTCCTGCCAAACTACCCACCCCACCACTCTGGCTGGTACCTCTGCTCTCTTTAAAATAGCCAATCAGAATTAGCTTAGACTGTGTGGTTCAACACTAGCCAGTAGGGGAATAACACTGCAGCAGGGACTACCTGTGTCAGGAATAAAAAGCCCTTCCCCTCCCTTGTCCAGGTGTGTGCTCACCATTGCTCCATCTGTGAGATGCACCCTTCTATAGAAGTAAATTGCCTTGCAGAGAAAATTTACATTCGACTACTGCTCCAGTTTATGTGTAACATCAGCAACCCTGGGAATTTGAACAGCTGCCCCTCTTTAAGATTCGTTAATGCCTGTGACTTGACACAATGGAAGGGCAGAAACCCCTAAGACTCTGTGAACCTTTGTTGGGTTGGCATGAGCCAAGCCTGCTAGAAGAGACGTTTTCTTTCTTGACTTTGACTTCTGGCTCAGCTTGGGAACCCATTTCTTTCCTCTCTGAGACCTTTCCTCTTGCATTTTGGGCTTTGAACTTCTTATACCTTACTGTGGCTCTGACAAGGCCTTTACTGCTGCTTTCAGTTTTGTTGTTACTATTTTGTTTTCCACTTAGATGCCCTTCTGGCCTGGATGATTTTTGCCTGGCTGGAAAGAGACACCCTGGCAGGTGACAAAAGAGGAGAACCTACAGGATTATGTGAAAATCTTCCCCTGAGGTTCACACAGAAGCATCTTAGAGGGAGTTAGAATCTCTTTCTCAAATCTTTGTAAGAAAAGTTTTCTGAAATGTCACCACAGGGTGTACCCTGGGAGAAGAAGTAACATCTTTCCAGATACCCTGAATTGAAAAAGAACCCAGGAAGGATAACACAAGATAGAAGGTCCAACTTGACATTTCAGGGGCAAAAATACAAGGACGTTTTTCTTTTAAATCCAAGAAAGTTATAAAGAGGAGAGATGTTGAAAAGCACCTTGTCTCTGATTTCTGATCTTTGCCAAATACAAACAAGTACCTGAGATGCTCTTCTGGATGTCTTTCTTATATGCCATCTGAACCATAAACTGCTTGACGTGGGAGAATATCTTGCTCATCTTTGAATCCGTAGTACCGGTAGAGTATTTGATTCAACCCAGTGACTGCGATGGTGCTCACTCTGGGGGCAAAAGGCCCTGTTGAACAGGGATTCATTTTATGGTACTTGGACCACACTTTGCCAGGAAAGAGGTACTTCTGGGCCACCACAGATATGGTTGCAAGAGATTAACCTCAGAACTTAGAATGGATTCAAATCAAGCGTATCTAGATCTTAGCAGAAGTGTCACCAGTGGTAGAAAAGCATCTTTTCCCCTCTTCCAGGGAACACCAGGCAAACATTTGCACCTAAGTCCTCGGCTTCCATGTCCAGATTGGGTGAATGGGTGTTCTGGGAGGCACTGTAGTTTACTGTTTCATAGGATCTCATAGGAATTTTTTCGAGTGAATTCAGCTCTGAACTTTTCATGATCAATTAAAAGCAACTCTTCATATTGTTTTCTCTTGGCATTCGATCTTGTGGATCCAAACACTGTTTTTTATTAACTTCATCATTCTATATAAGAGATTTTAGAAATGATAATTCTCCTCTCTCACAGATAGTGTCAACATTGAGTGATGCTCAGCACATAGATTTGTCAGCATAGGGCACCCACTACCAACGATATTATGCTGGGACTTGATCCAACTTGGAATCTGTTACCTATGCCCAGTAGCATTGTTTGCACATGTCTGCTTTTTATGATTATTAGTTAAGAGTTTGTTTTTTTATAGAGGATGAGGGAAAGGGTGATTAAGCATAGGTTATTCAGTTTAAACTAATGAATCTTTTTTTAATAGACTGACCATCTGTCAGGGAAGTGGCAGAAGGCATTCCAATAGGACTGAGTTGAATTAAATTAAGAGATAAAAGTAATAATGATGGCTTTCCTCCAAATGATATCTCAAAATTTGTGCACTTTTTCCTAGCGCCATTTTTGCCACTTTAATCCAAGCTACCTGCATCTGGACTACAAGCTTCCTAACTGGTCTCCCTCTGTCCCTTGTCTTCAGATCCAGTCTTTTTGTAATAGATTGGTCCTTTTAATATTCAAATCAGGTTACCATTCCCCATCTTTCCTAGCCTTGAATCCTGACACAAGAGCAGAAAGCCAAACACCGTACGTTATCACTCATAGGTGGGTGTTGAACAACGAGGACACGTGGACTGAGGGAGAGAAGCATCACACACTGGGGGCAGTTGGCGGGGGCTAGGGAAGAGACAGCGGGGGGTGAGGGGAGGCGGAGGGGTGGATAACATGGGGAGAAATGCCAGATAACATGTGCACCTAAAGTAAAATAAATAAATAAGAAAAAAGGAAAAAAAAAAAAAAAAAGAAACATTTACACACACACACACAAAAAAAAAACCCAAATGTAAAATAAAAATGGGTAACTTGGCCTGTCACCCCGGTTTCATCTGGCCTCTTGCCTTTCTCTCCAACCTCTCTCTCCCTCTCTCTCCCTCTCTCTCTCCAGGCCTTTATTCCTAGGGCTCTCAACACACTGGCCTCCGTGGCTGTTTTGTTCCAGCCTTGGAGACATGTGCCTCTTCTTCTGCCAGAGGGTGCCCCCTGTCATGACCACTTGGCAAGGTCCGTTCTTGTGTCACATCTTAGTTTAGACTCTACAGAGAGGCAATTTCAAACCCCTCCAGTAACTACGTGCCACCCGGAAGATCTCACTGTGCTAATTGCAGATTTATTGGAGTGGCGTTTGCTGAGTTACTCACCATGGAGTCCCCAGAACCCACCTTAGTGGCACTGCTGAATGAAATGTGCTTAAACTACAGAGGGCTAATGATGTGCCTTTTCCCGCTGGAGGCTCATGACATCTTTGTGAAGAAGGCGTGGACTGGACAGACTCAAAGTTGTAGGAGAGGAGTCTAAAGCCTGCTGTGGCAAAAACTTGGGAGAATAGGGGCTGAATCCCAGGGTTCTGATGCCAAGCCTAAAGCTCTTTTAGCTTGAGTACCGTGCATGCTAGACAGTCTCTGCACACTGTTGTCTAAAACAGAGATATCCAGTGTTTTGCCTTCTCTGGGAAAACAATCGAGACCATATTGGAAGAAGAAGAATTGTCTTGGGGATCTACGTAAGATTCACTAACACTAACAATAGCTGATGAGCTATAAAAAATTCACAGAAAAATATTTTAATGTTTTAAGAAAGTTTATGAATTTGTGTTAGGCTACATTCAAAGGCATCCTGGGTCACATGTGACCTGTGGGTCATGGGTTGAACAAGCTTGGTCTAAACACGTATTAATTATTATTTGTCTAAGTAGGGTCATCACTCAGGCAGCTTTTGAAGAAGCACTCTCATGGCACACATATCACCTGCCAGAGCTTGCCCCAAGTATGTTCTAAGTCCTTTCTCGTCTAACCTGCACAAAGACCTCTGGTGTATTAGTTAGTATCACAAACTAGGTGGTTAAAAATAGTGACAGAAGTTTATGTCCTTACTGTTCTGGGGCAAGGAACCCAAAATCAAGGTGTCAACTGGGTCCTGCTCTCTCTGAAACCCATAGGGGAATTCTGCCTTGCTTCTTTCGACCTCTGGTCTGGCGGTAATCTCTTTGATATTGTGATTCGCAGCTCCATAGCACCTCCGTCTGCGGCCATTGTCATGTGGCATTCTCTTTGGGTTTCTTTCACATCATCTTCATGTCTGCGTCTGTCTCTGTGTACACAGTCCTCCTCCTTATAAGGACAGGCCCATCCTATTGACCTCATCTTTGATTACTTTCTGTAGACCGTATTTGCAAATAAGGTGGCATGACCAGCTACCTGAGGTTAGGGGTTTATCTATCTTTTTGAGGGGACATGACTTAACCCATAGCAGATACCCATCCTCCATTTTTACAAACAGGTCAGCTGGGTGTGGAGGCTCACGCTTGAATCCCTGCACTTTGGGAGGCCAAGGTGGGCAGATTACTAGGTCAAGGGATCAAGACCAGTCTGGCCAACATAGTGAAACCCTGTCTCTACTAAAAGTACAAAAAATTAGTTGGGCGTGGTAGCAGGCACCTGTAATCCCAGCTACTCAGGAGGCTGAAGCAGGAGAATAGTGTAAACCTGAGAGGTGGAGGTTGCAGTGAGCCAAGATTGCACCATTGCATTCCAGCCCCAGTGACAGAGAGAGACCTTATCTCAAAGAAAAAAAAAAAAAAAGTTGGGGGCGGGTCACAGGTTCCATAACATGTCCAAAGTTGCTCAACTTGCATTTGGCAATGACAAGCTTAAATTCAGATCATGCCTCCTAAGTCCACGCTTGGTTTGTAGACCAGACAGATTTCAGCCTCTTAAATCAAAGCTTGGTCTGTAGATTCAATTAACTTTCAAAAAGTGAAGTAGGACCCTTTTTCTTGACTCAAAGTGAGCTTAGCCAGGGGAGGCAGAATTTTAAAGTGCCTGAGTGCATGTATTATTACTAGCTTTGCCTGCTGAAGCAGAAATGTGTTCTCCTGCCCAA